GGGGTTAAGGAATAAATATGTGTGATTTTACTAGGATGAAGTTGGTCTTAACTGAAAACTAGGCATTCTTACAAATACTTTTGCAAACTGTTGCAAATAATGCACTCGTGAAATATTAAAAACTAGTAGCTAGTAACTAGATTGTAACTAGTATCCAATGGTAAGTAGCCATAAGCTAGTAGCTAGGAGCCATAAGCTAGTAGCTAGGAGCCATAAGCTAGTAGCTAGGAGCCATAAGCTAGTAGCTAGGAGCCATAAGCTAGTATCCAGGAGCTAGGAACCATAAACTAGTAGCTAGTAGCTGGTAGCTAGTAGCTGGTAGCTACTAGTAAGTAATGTGTGAAGGGCCCAGCCTATCAGCTGGGCATGGCGATTCAGTTATAGTAGCAACTAGTAGTTCAACAACTTTATCGGAGTTAAAGTCCTCTGTTTTTGAATAAATCTTTACTAAATGGTCAACTAGCACCATTTCTCCTCCATGTAAAATCAAAAGTCAATAGTCTTAGTTCTAAAAAGACAATCAAGCCATCTTCACAGCAGCCACATTAACTCCTACTATTTTAAAAACATTTCGTGCAGAAATAATAAAAAGCAATTGGGATTTGCCTCGACTTATAACAACTGCTGACTTTGATTGTGTATTCATGTGTATATATGGAAATAAGCAATAAGAAAATTTTAGTTTTTTTGTTGTGTAAAAGAACGAAAAGTTTGCGTAAATGAAAATGCGTATGGCTCATGCAATGTTTTATTGATTAATCAGACACGAGAACACCGAAATTTTTTTTGTAAGTAAAGAAGAAAAATTGACCTTGTTGGCTAGTAAAGTCCTCTATCGTGCTCATTGTCCATAAAAAAATATTTACGTTAGACATTTTTATGAACTTACAGGAACTTAAATATGCATGTTGTGGGGTTGATGAGCAAGTGTGATAGAATTTTAACGTTATTTCATCACTTTGTAAATGCCTTCAATAGAATTGCATGTGAGAACTGCCGTTGGACAATTTTCCTTCGGAAATGAATCAATTTTGAGTTGCCATCGACGGCATTCTACAATGTAAAGGCAAATTGATATTCCAAATTGGAAATGAGCAAAACTTCTAAATTATTCAGTATTTGATGGCTAAATAGCTGTGCGACTGACTGAGAAGAGGTTTCAGTTTTAAATTTCCTGCTTACTTCTTTCATTATTGAATAATTGATTTTATTTTTAAAATTGGAATGAGATATTTTTGTGCTGTTGCTGTAGGATGGAGGATAAACTTTCTATTTCTAGAATTTCATTCATTTTAGAATTGATATTGAATTATTTATGTGGATGCTTTAATTGAGACATGAACTTCTTTTTAATGGTCTGCAAAATTTAATTTAAGAAAGATGCAAAAAATGAAGCAAAACTTTTAAAAGATGCAAAAAATAAGTAAAACATTTGAAAGATGTAAAAAATAAAGCAAAGCTTTAGAAAGACGCAAAAAATGAAGTAAAACTTTTAAAAGATGCAAAAAATGTATTAAAACATTTGCAAGATGCGAAAAATTAAGTAAAACTTTTGAGATGTACAAAAAAAGAAGCAAAGCTTTAGAAAGATGCAAAATATGAAGCAAATTTTTTAAAAGATGCAATAAATGAAGTAAAGTATTTAAAAGACGCAAAAATGAAGCAAGATTTTTAAGAGATGCAAAAATGAAGCAAAACATTTGAAAGATTCAAAAAATAAATCAAAGCTTTTAAAAGATGTAAAAAATTAAGCAAACTTTCCAAATGAGGCAAAAAGAAACAAAACCTCTAAAATGATGCGAAAGTTCAATTTAGGATTCGAAAACTAAATCATTGAATAACTCAGAAACTGAAACACACTACACGAAAGATAATCAAGAAAAGGAAATTAAAATCACAGATTTTATTGAAAGCAAAATTGCTGCAAACGATTATATCTTCCCATCGGAAGTCAATCATCGCTGTTTCTTAAGTAATTCCAAAAAAACTTCCAAATTTCTTCAGGAAATATTAAGTTCTAATGGATTGTGGCTTTTATGAAGCATTACATAAGTTGTAAAATTATTCAGAATATAAGTTCTTAACGAAAGAACTATTAAATATGCTAAAAACAGGAAGCAAGGCATTAAAAAAAATGAAACAAAAAAGAAAAACCATTTAACATCCTTCCATTTGTATATTTCATTCGATAACCATAAAACTGGAGCAACTTTTTTGTGTTCTCATCCTGAACTTTATGTTGCTGAATTTTATAAAGCCATAAAGCATGAAAACTAGGAGAGTGAGAACAAAAAACCCGAGAGATAAAAAAATAAACTTTTTTTCAAATCGATTGTGGAATATATTATGCATGATGCTGTTCTGCCAGATGCTACAATGAGAATGACATATAGCTAAATACGTAGGAGTGCCATTGCTTTATATTGAGGCAAGATGAAAAAAATGAGATGAATTCTTAAAAATCGTTCTTATTGTTACCTTCAGTGACGTAATCAGATTTGGGAGGATGTCACCTCCTTATTTCTCTACATAAATTATACTTTATGAAGCATGTCGCATTGTAGAACGGAAATTGAAAATTATAATTACGCCCATGTGACAAAGAATACATATTGGATGAAAATTGAAATATTCTTGATGTCAATTAGCAAAAAAGAAGAGAATAAATCGATGTCGGATAATTGAGATTTTATGTTAATTTTTCCTCTGTTTGGCAAAATGTTTGAGCAAGTTTGAAATGCTTTTGAGATGAGAATATTTAGATGTTCAATTAAAATTATCAATTGATTTTAAACTCTTTTGAAATTGATTAGAATTTCTATATTTAAGCTTTATATCTGCCATAAACATCAATTTTGACATTCATTATGACATTTTAATTCAAAATAACAGTTTGATCCAATGTCAATTATGTTTACTTAAAATTTTGTCACTTCGAATTTTGTTTATCATATTTTTACAATTCTATGCGTAAAATAAAGCAGATTAATGATTAAATATGTTCAAAAAAGTGGCAAGCATCAGAAAACATTCACTTTGAGCTTCAATTTACCATTTTGAGCTTAAATTCTTGTAAAATGATTAAAAGACTACTCAATATTCCACGAGAAAACAGCTAAATCCTACATGAAAGAGAACAGCATTAAAAAAGAATGATTCTCATGTTCACAATGAACATAATTACAAAATATTTCAGTTTGTAATCAGTAAAGCAGACAATAAACCACAATGAAAAGCCTTTGACTGGTAAATTGCTACATTTTGGGTGCGGCAAAAATTGAATGAAATTTTCACGTATGTCATATTATTATAATTCTATTGTTATTTATGATCATCAATGGAATCAACAACTGAGAACATTAAAAAATTGAAAAGATAAAATTTTACGGCCTGTTTCACTAAAGTGGATTATCCTCGATTTCGGATTATCCACTTCAGTTTTTTGGAAATATCTTAAACTTTATGGGAGGTGTGGTATTTCTAATTTTGGATTATAATAGAGTGAACTATGCCTGAAATTTCTGTATACTTTAAACTTTTACTTTTCGTTAAGAACTATCAATTATTCAATTTCCTAGCCAAATCTAGTAGATTAACTTCAATTTTTGCTATAATTCTCAAACTAGTGAAGATATAAAAATTCTAAGTATATGTTAATTTAAGCAGCAAAGTACTCTTGCTAGATCACACATTAGATCTCTTAATAACCTTAAGCGTCTGGCGATATTTCCAAAAAACTGAAGTGGATAATCCGAAATCGAGGATAATCCACTTTAGTGAAACAGGCCGTTAGGTTTTGCGATGACAGTAAATTGCTAGTTCCCAGCTGAAGTAAGTAAGGCAGTAAAAAGAGAACAAGAAAGAGAAATTTTTCAGAGCAACGAAAGTAAAAAGAAGGAAATTACGATTCTCATGCTCAAGCATACATTGATATTACAATGATTATTGTTATTACTATGATAATGACTCTTAGATTATTATAACTTGAACTTTCATCTTCCATCATGATGCTTGGCAATTTGAAAATTTTTCACTTTCAGCAACAACACGCGCTGTACGATTATGAATGATTTAAAGAAGTTTAACACTTACTTTTTTCCCATTTTCATTCATTCATTTCCCATGTGTGTATTCTATAAAAGAAAGTTTTTATTTTTCTTTTATTTCTGAACTCTATGAGGATGGGAAGAATATGACCTATTCATGGACATGTCAATGGGGTGGGTACATCAATTTGTTGTGTATATGGTAAACTGATTGAGAATGTTTCATGTTTTTTTATGTGATGAGAAAGTTTATTGTTTAACTAAGAGCACATTTGTGGTTCTGTTCTGAATTAAAATTTATATACTGTAAAGGATGACGACTAAATTTGGGTTGGTTAGTAAGATTTTGAGTACAAAACACAAATTGTTGACATCCAAGAATTTAAACTAGTCAAATTCTTTGTATACCTTGACCAGAACTGATTATGACCTTTGTGAATCACTTGAAAAACAATCTTGGACAAATTTTTGGGTTTCTGAAGATATATCACAAAGATCTGGTTAACAAGAACTAGGAACAAACAAGAATACAGAATCTAATGACATCAAAAAATCTTAAAATAATCTTAATTATTTTAAAGTGAATCCGAGTGTCGCCTTCTGATTCCAATTTTACATTTGCTTTCTACCTCACTCCTTAACTTTTTATTTTCCAAAACAAAAAGGACTTTTTTCCATTCGTAAAAAAAACAACAAAAGGGAGAAAAATAGAAACTTTATGTCATCAACTCGTTACTCAATGTAAATGAATGGTTTTGTTTTTAATACTGAAAATAAGTTCAAATATGAAATGACTTGAGTTGAACAGTTTGAAGTTATTAAAAAATCAGGAATATGATAATACAATCAGTTAGACTGAGAACCTTTTGATCTTGGTTTCCAAGAAAAAGAATTGTTTTTTTTTTATAAATTGCAATTGATAAGAATAATTCTCAAACTCTCAGTCTTCAACTGAATTTCAAAACGTAAAGTAATCAAATTCTGCTCTAAATGAAGTTCATCATTATTTTATTCCTTGTGGCTTTTTCATCTGCTGTCGAATTCAACTGCAAATTCAAAGATGATTATACCTGCGAAGTGATTAGTGGAAGAATTATAAATAAAGCTGATAGTTATGTAACAGGAGTCCAAGGAGATCATAAAGAAGGAAAATCAAATAAAAATGTTGGTGTTTTCGATGGTCGAAAAGTGTCAATCAAATACTTTCCAAGAAATTTAAACACATACTTTCCTAATATTCATCAAATATTTATTGAACGGAAACTTCGTGAAATTACAAAAGAGGATCTTCAAGACTTTCCAATGTTGGTTTATCTCTACTTGAGCTTCAATGACATTCAAATTATTGAGAAGGACTTATTCATCTATAATCCTGAACTAAGACTTGTCTTCCTGAACGAGAATCGAATTAAATATGTAGATCCAAATGTTTTTAAAAACTTACCTAAACTAATTTATTTAGGTTTTGAAGATAATGACTGCCATTCCGGAATTGTCGAACAGGGTCGATCAAATGTTGTCGGATTAATTAAAAAGATTTCAGACCAATGCTCTAATCCAATAATTTCAAATGAATTGGAACTAGAAATGAAGATTATCAAACAAAATTTGGAAGTAATTGGTATCAAAAAAGAGCTGATTGAGATGAATTTTAAATATGAACTGTGTAAACCGTATATAAAAGATTATGTTGATTACTAAGCATAGCAAAGTCCTTAAAATAAAGTTTTTAAAAAAAAATAAAATAAAATATGGACGAATCAGATTATAAAATTTTTATTTCTGACAAATCTACCTGAATTTAATTAAAAATATAGGTACAAAAAGTAAATATTGTTCGCTAAGTCATTAGTCATTAACATCATTTAAGGTCATTTTAAGTTTCGCGTTCAGAAAATCAACAACTTAATATTTTTAAATTAAATAAAAATAAACTCATCATAATTTCATCATTTAAAGTAAATTGTAAATTCGTGTCAGTTTCAAGCCAAACGTAAGACATTTCATCACTGTGTTGATAACAAAGTTAAATTTAGAGGAAAAAACAAAATAATCTTTCAGTCTGTAAGTAAAAGCCTCAGCTACTAGTAGAATAATTTTAAAAGATGATGACATTTGTGTCAATCTTGTTTGTTGCGATTCTATCAGTTGATGCTGTAGAATTTTATTGTAACTTTAAAGAACACTATCGATGTGAAGTATATAGTGGGACAATAAGCTCAAGAAATGATGCTTATGTTAATGGTGTTAATGGAAGACATCAAAATTCACGAAGTAACCGTGATGTGACTGGTTTTGATGCTAGAAAAGTTAACTTAAAATATTTTCCAAGAAATTTGAACTCTTATCTTCCAAGTGTAACTGAAATATTCATTGAACAAGGCTTACTTGAAATTACCAAAGAAGATCTACAGCAATACCCGAAACTGCTGTGGCTGTACTTAAGCAACAATGAAATCAAAACTATCGAAGAAAACACGTTCATGTACAATTCAGATCTAAAACTTATATTTTTGGGTGGGAATAAAATCAACTACATACGTCCATCCAAATGTGTTTGATCATCTCCATAACTTAGTATTCCTAGGTTTTGAGAACATTTGTCATTCTGGTCTTGCTGAAAGAGATCGTTCTGGTGTCGTCAGTTTAATTCAAAGTATTAAACAGAAATGCTCACAAAAATCTTCAAACTCTGCATCAAATAAACGTGAATGAGAACTAGAAATGCAAGTTGTCCTGCTTAAACTAGATTTGATTAAGATTAAAAAGGATCTTGTTGAAATGACTCATAAGTATGGAGATTGTAAATCGAATTAAATAAATCATTAGCTTAGGGTTTCTGAAAAACGGCATTTTTAAAAAACGGCCGTTTCCGTTTTATTCCAAAAAACGGCCGTTAACGGGTCCGTTTTTTTAATTCTACCGAAATTGTGTTTTATGCACGGTTTTAGTCACATACTGAAATTGTTGTCAAAAAACGAACTTATTACAGTGTATTGTGCCTAAAAAAACTTTTATTCACACCCTGTTTTTTCGTTATAAGCTACTACTCGTTACTAAGCTACTAGCTTAGTAAAGTTTTTTTGAACTTGAAATTTTTTTGTAATCTTTACTAAGGTACTACCAAAAATAAGTTTAATTAATCTTTTTCAACTTTTTAAGTATCAGTCTCAATGCCTTATGACATTATCAATGAAATAAAATCGAGAAGATAGCAAAATTTCTTTAATTAAGTTAAAAAATTCAAAATTTTCATTTAAGTTTAATTTCTTTACTAAGCTTCTACTCGTTCCTAAGCTACTAGTGAGCCAAAAAATCACTTTTTTTATTCTTCTAAGCTACTAGCTTATAACAAAAAAACAGGATACTTCAAACTTTAAAAATATTTAAACATCAATAGTCGTTACAAAACTTAACAACTTAAATTTAATGAGTATGAAAGAATTATTGGATTTAATATTATTTTATTCTAAACCTAAAATTTTCACGAGCTAGAAAAGAAAAACGGAAAAAACGGCTAGAAAAAAACAGCCGTTTTCCGTTTTTATTTTTCTCTGAAAAACGGCTGTTTTTCCGTTTCCGTTAACGGCTTCAGAAACCCTACATTAGCTTAACTAGCTAAAAGAATTAAATTTGAGCAAATTTCACTATCAAATCTAAATTTTAATCAATAAAACACTCATGAAATGTCTTAATTGACTGATTCTGTTATTTAATGTTTTGTTTCCAGTCACAAAAGATTTATATCAATCGAATAATCTGTTAAAGATTTAATCCAGTGACAAATCAAGTAAATCTCATCAAAATAAACCAAATAAAATCTAATTGTCTGCTTAACATCCATAAAATAGTAAGCAAACACACACGGAAGGACAGCATTGATTTGAGAATGTAAACAGAAAGAGAAGAAAAGATAAACAAACAGAATTTCATTGATGCAGTTAGTCGCATGATGAAATACAGAAAAAGTCTTCTTCCTTAAATGTTTTTAAAATTAAAATCTGGCAACATAACAAACTGTTATGACATCTTGCAGCTATGCTCCATCCATGACCTCAATATTTAGCATATTTTAATCAATATAAATGATATTATGGAATTTGTGCTGCATTAAACAATCAATTTATTCGTAGTGCCAAAAAATATATATAAGTTCTCATAACCTTCTGGCACTACCGTCAATAAATTTCTACTTTTAATATTTTCTTGTTCATCTCATTCTCTCATGTATGACATCAGATAATGGATTTTGGTGTAAAGCAAATAAACTTTCTGTCTTCTATCGTCATCAACATATGTTTGAAATATGACCGGACTTTCCTTCATATTCATTTTCATTGTTTATCGGCTGAGTCAGCTGCCACAAACAGATATATTGAAAAAAAATATATATATAATAATGAAAGAAAAATAACAAAAAAATGCGAATGAATCGGAAGGGCAACTTTTTTGTTTCTCAACATGTGCTGTTGTGAGAGTTTTGGGTGACTTTATTGGGTGTGGACAAAAGTTTTGCTTTTTTGTGTATTCAGGGGATTATGTACTCGAATGTTTTGCATGTTTAGCAATTTTTTGTGAATTTTTAAAGTTGAAGATTTTGATGAATTGAGATTGACTCGAAATTGGCTTCTTCTTAACTGAAGTGGGCCTCAACTGACAGGAATTAAGCTTCATTTGGTGTGAGGTTGGCTAAATCAAACCTGAAGTTCGCTTCATCTTAACTGAAGTTGGCTTCAACTGGTTTGAAGTTAACTTTATTCGACCTTAAGTTGGCTTCGTTTATACCAAAATCGACTTCATTTTCAGTAAAGTTGGTCTTATCTGGTTTGAAGTTAGCTTCAAAAGACATAAGTTCATCATTTCTCATAAAACTTCAATTATTTGAACTGCAAATCCTGCAATTTCTTCCTCAAGCCCCAAAAAAAGTTGAAGAATCTAGCCATGCATCCTTACGTCTGTGCCATCAAAATAAAATAAATGAAAATTTCTTTACTTTTCTCAAGAAAAAGGCACACAAAAACAAAATCGTTGCAGAAGAATGAAAAATTTGTTCGTGATGTGAAAATCAATTTTATATCATAATGAAGGAATAAGAAAGCAAGGCAGATTGATGTAAAGAGAATCAAAGCTTATGACGTGCTGAAGTATCGGATAATTTATCACACATATGTGCTAAAATAGGCTTCAAACTTTACGTTCTTTGGCTGTAAATGCTCTAATAAATTCAAGTTGTGCTTGTCTATAACGAATGTAAAGCCTCAAATGAGTGCTAATTAATTAAATTTGAGTGTTTACTGATAAAATTTTCTAACAGACATGAGAAATGCTGAAATTCATTCACACAGAATAAACATGGATACATGCTCTGTATGTTTGTTGTATGATAATGACAATTTTTTTTGTGCTTACTTTTACAAAATGATGCGGGAATGTTATGAGAAAATTTTTTGCGAATGAAGCAGTTTTGTGGGAACTAAATTTGTGGGAGGATTAATTCTATTGTTCATTTGGCACCAAATTTTATAATAAACAGCAAAAAGAGAGAATCTAGGTGTAGAACCAGTAAACAGTTGATCACCCCTCTAGCTGTGCGTCTCTTCAGCTTAACGTTATTTATATCCTACATATGACTCAGATAAGTAATAATAGTGAGGACAGGTCCTTGATATGTCCCATTCCATTGCGCTATATAACTTTGCCTCTAGATTTCAGTTCTACAATCTTTGTAATCTCCAAAACCTCTTATATCATACTCGGAAGAGAATCTCATTTAGCTTTTAAGGTTTCATTGCAAAAAAGCCATTATTCCATTTCTAGGAAGAGCAAATACCAATAACACTGCTGGAAGATAAAACTTTTCATTTAACAGCACGTGGATGGAATTTTTATTTGAGCTTTGGAGTTTCATTTTATCTGGAAATGTCAATTTCATTGGGAAGTCATTGCATTTTTTTAAGCAGGGATTCGACACATTATATTGATGCCAATAATTCATTTCTCATTAGCACATTCAAAGGCATTTAAAATTCATGCATCATAAATCTTACTCAAAGCTACTTAACCCTCAACCCCCTTAATAAGCACTCTAAAATAAATCAAACTTTTCAATTTACTCCACCCCCAAAAAATTTCATAAACGTATGCATGAAAATTAATAAGCAACTATTTCATATATAAATGCATCATAAATATCACAAAATTTGACATCAATAATCTCTCACATTCACTGTATATGAGAGCTTTTATAGATGGTTATTGTCATGAATTGAATAGTACATTTACTGCACAAATATTTGTCAAAAATTAATTGCAATCATGGACATTTGAAATTTAGTGCTGTATATGGATGGGCTAAACATGCAATGATTATATGAGGATTAAATGAGATTTTTTAAATTTTCATAACCGTCAAAAAATAATTTAAAAATAACGGTTAGAAAATATTCAAAAATTAATTTCGCAGTTGAATGCCCCTCAAAATCTTAAAAAACCATTAATTTTAACTTTAAGATATTTTCACGATAGCTAATAAAATTTCGTAGACAATTCAAATACCAAACGTCCTTAAACTTCAAGTCTAGACTCACAAAAAAAAATCAATTAAAATCAAAATAATATCCAATAAGATAATAATGGATATAATATTCAAATTGACATTTATCTTAATTGATATCAAATTAAACTATTCAAATCATAGTATCAAAATAGTCCATGTCCACATCCTTGACTATTCAATCTCAATTATTTACGCCCAATCGAGCTACTCTAGTTTTAACATTTATTCAGCAATTTATAGCTAATGAATATGCTTAAAGTTTACATTACTCTGTACATAAAATTATGATTTATTTATTCATGACTTTGAGGCACTGATATTCGACACTTTTCGTAATTTTCATGCAAATGTGCTCTTTTGCAATGATGATATTTAACATTTGCTGATAATTATTTATCATGTAATTTTTTTTTTATTTTTAATTTTTCAACGTTAATTTTTGTCGATGATTAATTGCTCATTTAAAAGATAAACAAGGATTTAACCAAAATATCGATTTCATTGGTGATTTTAATGGATTAAGAATTTTTAAAATTAATTTTTTAAATATTTCTTAATTAATTGTGGTCATTAATTGAATCTTTTTAAGGGTTTTCAATCGATTAGGTTCGAAAATATTAATTCAGGGGAATCGGATGTCACTGAATATTAATTACACATGGATATGCAACAATCCCTGCTTACATACACTTATACATTGTATACAATTTGCTATACGATAAAGCTAGGCCGGGTTTCTCGAAATACGCCATTCCTCCCCATATGTACTGTATAAACTTATCAGTATACCTTAATAAATAATTCTGACATGCTTTTGGCTATACTTTAGAGAAGGTCAAAGTCTCGTCATCCCTAAGAAGGGTTACCGTTGACTATAACTGACCATACCCTTGAGCAAACCATGCTCTTTGCTCTTTAGTAGACTATTCTACAAGATAAACCTAGCAATAGTTCCTTAGAATAAGTCCTCATGCGTTTGAAGTATCTACGAGTAGCTTTTATCTA